TTGATTTAATGCCTTATGTTCTATCAGAAAAAGTCTTAAAACGTAATAAAATACATGCATATTTTTAAAAGCAAGCAGAGTAATGGAAGTGTTAAAAAGGCTTCCTTCAGCTAGTTTAATCTGCAGAACCAAAGCACTGGAAGTAGAGGTTTCCTTACACTTCCCACTTTCTGGTTGCTCCCTGCCTGGCTTTTGAGTATCAAAAAAACCCCTGAGAAGCTTACAAATACACAGAGAAAGTTCTGAAGCTTTCGACAATTCCTAAGAATATTTGCCAGAATGTGATGGGCCTATGTCATACCTAATTAAGCAGTGAATTGTTTATTCACTCACAGGAGAGTGACATAAAAAGTTTATTTTTTAACCAACTCATCTCAAAAATTACACATAAACCCAACTTCTCACTCTAGCTGTTGGCAGCTGCAATCCGAAAAACAGAAGCATCAAAGGCACACGCAAAATAAATCAGAAACATTAATTCAGATGTTGATCAGTAAGGCTTTGCACAACATGAACGGAAGACAAATTTGAGGAACATATTTGTTTAGTAGTAGAACAATGAAAGGAGAAAACAAACCCAAGTTCCCTACAAAAACTACAAAACAAACCAAAGCACAAAACAAACCAGAAATGAGTCAAGGAAGTCAGAAGACCCTTGAGGTAGAATACATATGTAATAGCTGTTATGAACAGCACAGACATTGCACCATTGCCCGTGGACATTTCTTAGCCCATACACCGAAACAGAAATGTTGGTATACACTACTCATCATGCTTCATTTAGAAGAATAGATGGACTTTACACACCAGTTATTCAAAGGCTTAATATAAACCAGGCTATACATTTTATATGGACAAATAACTCCGAGGGGCACACAGGAAATTAGAAGCAACTGAGTGCTGCTGTATTTATTGCAAATAGGCCCAAATTCCCATCTGATAGCCTGGCATGGCAGCTATCACTGATTATCTGCAAAGAAAAGTTACCATCAGGAAAATTTCCTCATACTATTTTTGATAAAGACAAATGGTTTTCATGTTTGTACTGTTTCATAAAGCCATTAAGTCACCTTCCCGCTTCCATATTTCTCCTACTTCATCAAAAATGAAAAGCTGAACTGGAGCAGTGGCATTTTAGTCACTGCAAGGATCAATAACCATCTGGTAGACTCTTCTCCAGTTGAACGCTTTCATTCCCCAACATTCATCAAGAATTCCCACCCCTGAAAAGAAGATGGGCAGTAGAAGACCAAGAAGGCGGCACAATTGAAACAGCCTCGGGATTTCTGGGAGCCCACCTGCCACACCAGAGCAGACATTCAGAAAGATAAAGAAACTGCATCATTCTCTTGCTTTTATACGTAAGAACAGAGGTAACTGCAGAGAGTGTACATCTACCATGTCTGTAATGAAGGAGATACAGGCATAGCAGAGAATTGTTACATGGCAAGTGCTATTTGTCACTGTGACTCCTGGCCATTCAAGAAAAAACACTTTAGGAGTTTCCAGGGGATGAAGGTAAGTTCCAGGAAAAGTAAGGAAAAAAACCCAAAAGTCATCAATGTACTGGTCAAGAAAAAAATTACCGGCACAAATTTCAGTAGCTTGCTACTAAAATTCAATAGTGAGCTTAAAGGGGTTTTGTCATTCTTATTTTTGACATTTTATCTTTCTTAAAGTAAACACGCAAACCCACTTAAGATGTACATTCATTGTCTCTGAAACTATTTCCTCCTTGAGATTTTATCTCAGTAGAAATGTGCTTGCTGCTTGAAAGAGTAAAAGATTAAGCAATACGCAATTCCAGGAGGGAAGAGCACCCAAGCCCATTTATGAAGTTGCAAATAGATGCCACTGAAATGAAAACTAAGCAATGCGAGTGATAAAAGTCAAAAGAGTTTTGTTTTACTGGCTGATGACTTGGGAAGAAAAGTGCTCACCCAGGGGCAAATATTTCTCATGTTATTATCAACTAAAGCACCATAACATGCAGATACACACAAATATTTAAGAAGCCAATAAAAAGCACTTAAGAAATAAACTGAAGCTGCTTAGCAGAAAATACAAATATAGGAGACAGCTGGTGTTTACAATTAAATACTTTCCAAAGCAAATTCACAGCTTTGTTTACAAAGGAATTGTTTGCTACCCTCCCCACCCTCAAATACAGAGGTGATCCCCAAATATAAAACCGGTGATACAAATGTAGTTCAAACTGCTTGTCCAAATAATGAGCAACTAAATGGGGCTGGAGGGGGAAACAGCAAATTCATTTTCTAAGAGCTAGCCTGACCAGCAAAGATACACTGGTGTTTTCGAAAATCCATTAAAGGCTACTGTGCATAAAGATTGAACTTTCAAGTAGAAAAAAAGTTTCCCCATGGCAGCAAACACCAGCAGAGTACGTGTCTGAAGAAGGAGATAGATCGCTCCAGGATTAAGGTTAAAAAAATAAACCAAACCAACAAAAAAATCGAAGGAAAAAGCCTATCACACAAAAAAACCACACACAACCTCTGGGAGTAAATAGTGTATTTCACTAATAATTTTGAATTTTATTAGCAATGTTACTCAAACACTTGTCATCTTATAGAGACAAACATCCGTAAGTGCAGAACTGGTCACAAGCGAGAGGCAGCTCATTAGCAGCTCATGTTACACAGGATTTTCAAAGTCTGAACTACAGCTCCTGACAGAACCAAGTGGCTTGTAAATATGTGTCTCAAAATCTGACACACAAAAATACAGCACATGAGAGCAATCACATGACTATAGTTATGTTATAGTAGACTATAACCGAACATAAGAATCAGCTTCCTTGTCATTCAGGTGTCCATGAGATTAGTTTCCTCTTTGCTACAGAAAAAGCCTGAATAAGTTCACCTACTGCTGTATAAATCATATAGTGCTGCTCCATAAGATGACCTAAAAAAACCTGCACTAGTACCCAAAAGATGCAATACGCTTGAGCTTCAAAAGAAGTTAAACCATCAGTTACACTACAGTAAATTGAAAATGCTTTGCTGTTAAGTAGAAAGAAGTAGAAATTAACAAGAAGGCAATAGAAGTTACAGTATTTATTTTTCTATAACATACTAAAAACATTAGCTTAATTTCTTGGAAACTGTGGGACAGATGAGATTAGTTACTGGCATTATCAACAAACAACTTCTAGTATGAAAATAAAATCACTATCCGTAAAAAAACACCTCAAAAATTTCTCAGAAAATGGATGAAAACTGAAAGAAACTTTGCTTGACCCAAAATAATGGATTTTAATCTCTGCTACAAATAGAAATCCTTGGTCTGTTTACCAGTTTAGTAGACAATTGCTGCTTTCTCCCATCTCCCTGCTTGCTATTTCCAAGTCCTTTCACTCTTGCTTGGACACAGAGAGGTACAAGCACATCCTCAGGATGGAGGCAGCTTGTCCTTTTACTGACTTGTCATCATAACACTAAGAAAAGCTAGCACATACACAAACCCATTTTCACTGTTAATGCTGTCAGGCTGCCAAGAGAGGCTGCATAATCTCTAGGAGGTTTTCATGACCTGACAGAACAAAGTCCTGGGCAATCCCATCTGAATTCAGTGTTGAGCATGTTTTCTGCAGGAATTTGTACCAGATGACTTCCTAAGGTCCTATCTGAATTATTCTATGAATGTGCAGCCCTCAGAAAGCCTCTCTACATAACTCTAGAACAGCATAGCAGCAGTAATGTTGGCTATAATTCCTGTATGACAACAACCAGTATTCTCCTGTCATTTAATTTTTCTTCCCAATTGCCTTTCTACATCCATCTATTAGTTCTTAAATCCCATAAGCTCGTCGCAGTTTCCTTCTGCTCTGCATTTGCATGTCTAGCACTTGGAGTCCTGGATTTGTGGCTAAGGCTTCCAGAAAACAGAGCAGTAGAAAGAAAACCAAAACTAAAGTAAAAACCAAGAAAATTACTGAATATCGTCAGGTTTAAGGACTACTTAAACAGTAAGATACACGGGAGTGACAATACACTTCACAGATGGAAAGACTAAAACCTAAAGCAATTGACCAAATAGGCATAGCAGGTCTATATATCCTTCCCCTATTATTCTAACGTACTCAAGAATGAATTCTGATTGTAGGAGAACATGGAAGAATAAAAATCGAAACAAAACTTTAATGCTTAAGAGACTGACTAGATTGATACTGCTGAGAGAAAGGAAAGGAATTCTTTCAACTCACAGTTCTTCAGCTGACGTATTTGACAAGAGAAACAACAATGAGACTTTACTGGAGAGAGAAGGCAAAAACATTTTTGCTAAATTGAGTATCTATTTCACACAGATATACTCTTAGCCACTAGTTACTCTTTGCCAAGACAAACACAGGCATAACTCACGTACTACCTTCCAAAATCACTTGAGCCATATTTTTAACCTGACATGCCAAGATGGAAAAAACAGTCAGAGCTGCCAGCATCACTTTCCAGTTACCTGTTTCTCACTGGCAAACTGAGTTTTTTACTATTTTTCTCCTAAGATAAAGCTTGTTAGCAGTTCTGCAGGTGAGTGGTGGACATTGATCTGCTGTGATAACAAACACCACAGAACCGAAGAAGCAGGAATTGGGAGAGGCAGAAATGTGGCACAAGGAGAAAATTTTTTATTGGCATGCACATCAAAGAAGCAGAAGTTCAAAGCAGTAAAGTTAAAAAAAAAAAACCCAAAAACACAACAAAACTCAACAACCTTTCAGTTAATTCTAATTTACTGCATTGGATTATTCATTAAAATTAGTAATATGACATAGGTTTTAACACTGCACTAGCTGACAAGAAAATCAAGAACATCTGATGAATGTCTCAAACCTCTGCGCTTGGAAGTGACAACATAAATGCCAGTAACTAAGGTTTGGTGGTTATTTTCTTCCTGCAATAATTTTAAAAACCCAGCCACCTGAGGCAGGAGAAACATGCCCTCTGAACAATTCTCCACGCTCCAGTTGCCAGGGCACTTACCAGGTCACTTCGAGGTGCTTCCTGATAGTCTGCTGAAAGGGAGGACATGGAACTTCTTGTGCCGTTGCTCTCACTGGCCTGCCGTGGCGGCTGTGCATATTGCCTGTACGTAGCACTCTTGGGGGTCCAGCGAAACAGGTTGATTGACTCCCGAACACAACGCTCAATGTCAATCTCTGATCAGGGATTTAAAGAAAACACAAGAAATGTAAGCATGAAAAATTAGTAAAGTAAATTAACCTAGCTATGATGTTGTTAAATATACATATACCCATCTACACCCCTGTCTTCGTCTCTCTCTCTCTGCCCCCTCTTAAAAGGCCTATAGTTTTCCAAAATGTTCTTCCATTAAAAAAAAAACCAAACCCAACCACTCAGAATTTTTTAATGGAAAACTTGCAAAGAAATTTTAGACATGAATTTTATCCCTAGGTATGTATGGAAATACAGCAAGCTGTTTAAGAGCTGAACTGAACCCAATGCAAAGACAGGAATCTATGACAGCTTAGTGATTATATGACATCTTCATTAAATGTCTTTGCAAGTCAGACTATTGACTCTAAAATGTAAGTACATGCAGCACATCAAAAGTACATTTCATGCAATGTATGGACATCAGGATCTTTGTATCAACTGAGCATCTAAATACTATGAGTCAGATTGAAAGCTTTCAGTTGTCGAACTCTGTGTGGCTTGCTGTTCAGACAAAGCTATTATGATGTTATCTGTTTGGTGGAAAACAGGAGCTGTCAACACTAAGTCAGCTTGATGGCAAACACAACAGATTTTAGAGGTTTGCTTTTTAAAACAAACAAACAAGCACCACCACCACCACCAAATCCCAAGAGTCCAAAACCCAACCAGACATTCACAGTGAAACATTCTGGCTGAAGGAGTAAAGTGCCACGTGTGACAATATGTTACTCAACTTGGGAGGAAGCAGACACCTATCAAATGCGAAGCATCCTAAAATAAGCTGTGGTCAAGTAAAAATTACCAAAGCATAATGAAAAACATATGCAAAAGAAAAAAAAAAGTAACCACATTACAAATATAATTTTTGCAACCTAAGCATCCCACATGTATCTGTCCTCTAAGAAGAGTTAACACAAAAAAAATGTTTAGTTTTCTATCGCTGTAAAAAGACTGGTTAGTTTTACATCTCCTGTCTGTAGTCTCATGAAAAGAAAAACTACCCTAGCATGCATTTGATGACAAAACTAGTGTAGTGCATCAGAAAAACAGGTATACTAGTGCTTCTTGGGTCTGTCCCAAGCATCTTGCATGATTCATTACAGCACTCACAATTTAGAAGATTGAAGCACCAGCTTCTATGAACAAAACAGGGGCAGTGTAGCCAAGCTTTATCTGCGTATCTCAAACAGATTTGATGTGTTGCCATCAATAGATTTGATGCACTGCCATCCATCAGGGAGTTACTCCAAAAACCTCAGTCATTAGAAGGGTGGTGAGCGAAAGAAGCTGAAATTCAAGCTTGGGAGAGATTATTCCAGTTCAATGAGATTATTCACTTGTTTTAAATCTGAATGAATGATGTGCTCTATTAATCTCCCATTCAAAAAGCTGTCTGTATTCAGGTAGGACACAGCCTGCAGCATATGCTTTCATTCCATTGAACACAACATGTGCATGTGCTGTCTTGCTTCTGAAATTCTGAAAAATCTGGGACTAAAGCTGTGGTTTACCTAATCTCAACCCTAGCTCAAACTTTTCTGGATGTGAAAGTAAATGACAATTTCCCTTGAACATATCAGGTTCCCTAGCTACTTGGGATAATACTTGCTAGAGATAAATGGACAAAGTGGTGTCTCAGCAGTAACAATTTTTCGTGGTGAAAACATTAGAATTTTCATTTTGAATATATTGTAATGAAAGGTTGCTATTTAGTATAATTCCCATGCAAAATCCACACAACTGGAAAATTTTACACTATTTCTAAATTCAGGTAAAGACAGCAGATTCCTTTCACTGGTTACTATTTCCAGAGCTCAGAATACACTCTGAAGCATGGTCATTACAGTCACACTCTATGTTTCTGAAGACTCATGAGAATTTCAGTTCAAGACTGTAGTACATTTATGGGTTTTATTTTTTCTATAAAGAGACTGCTAATAACTGAGTTATAGCCCTGTCTCCTGAGAATCTTAGCTAAGCAAATATTACCAGTACTTTTGTAACAGGTGAGATGAAAGCAGAATTTGGCCAGTAAAAGAAATAAATATATATATATATATATCTGAACAACAATAACTAATAGCATAAGAAATGTTCAGTTGTGAGAGGGCATAATAGCCTACTAATATCTGAAATTGAAAACAGAGAACTGGGGGATGGAATAGGAACACTATGTGCAGTAGAAAGTTATGAAAAAGCTTAAAGCAGAAATTGAGTTTGACAGAGTTCAGCATTGAGACAGACTATCAAAGTATTTTTCCTAGAAACAAGCTCTGTAGCTCCAAAAGGAATCCATTTACAGAATTGGAACATGCAGCAATGGGTTTCCCTAAAAATGATAACCAGTTCGCACACATCAGGGTTTAAGTAAAAAAATTAGGAGTCTTTTATTCTGTGATTCTTGTCTGTGTGGTTTCTCATCTCTTCTAAGCAGCATTTCAGGAGGACAGTGAAAATGAAATTCCACAGAACAAGGGGGAATTTTAAATGGTTTGGGAGGGAGGCCATCAAAAGCCTAACACCAATTTACAGTCTGCTGATTAACTGTTCTGCTTCTACGTAATGCAAAATAAAAATGTAACAAGAAGATTATGGTTTCCACAAACAATAATAAAAATATATAAAATATACATACATAATAATAAATAAGTATAAAAATATATAAACATTTATCACCCACAAGGGAGACAAGACTATTGGTAGTGAAGGAATTTACTTGCATTCTTTTTTGAAAAAAACAATTACTTTCAGAATACTGAAAAGGAGTTTAAGCCTACCTTAAACTAGTGTAAACATTTACAGAATATTTCTTAGTCGCATTGCATGAACAGGCTTCACACTTGAGTAACCTTCAAGCCCATCTTCACCCTTTGTTTGAAGTATCGGTTTAAGAAAAATCACTTCCTGTCAGTAACTAAAATGTAATACAATCTTTTGCAGCCTTGCTGGATAAGATCTTTTCTCCTCCTTTTGGCTAATAAGTAAGGGTCTGCTATGTCACTTCAATCCTGATTTCTTCCCATGCCCTTTCAAATATATGGCAAATGAGTCAGTCTCCAATTAAACATCCATCTTTTGTTATTGCACCAAGACTCTGCATTCACGCAGTATTAATCCTGCTTGTACTCTTTCTGCTCCCAAATAACTGTGCTATATGCCAGAAAACATTAAAGCTTACACATTATTAAAAACATACTGTTTGTGTGTCAGAAGTGTCAATATACCAAGTCAGTGCCCAGATTCTTGAGCAGAACTATGAACAAACGAACAGAGAGTACCTCACCAGGATGCCAGATGACTTGTCATGTGCAAACAACTCAGAAGAGC